TTGTTGCTTTTATGTAAAATAGAATTAATACTTGGGCTTTTGTATCAGTTTGAATAAACAGAAAATATGATGCCATGATTGTTTTTTTTTGTTTTTGTTTTAATTTCTAGGTGCTTATTGGGAAGAACCAGAAACAGAAGAGAGTGGTTGGCTATTTTAACTGCACACACCTTCATGCACCAGAGGGTAGGTCCCAATTTCTGATTTGGCTTAATTAAACAAATTATAAAATCTTTTCATATTTAAATTTTTTTATTTTTTTATTTTAAGTTGTGTTTAGGAGACCCTCTGTGTAATCCTATTTCAGGTGAAGGGGAAATTCGTTGTATCCAGTTAGAAATGGTAACTAAGTGGATCGCGGAATTTCAAGCTGCCAACAAACAACCTGATGAGGATGTTGTTTTTGATGTACTCTGTGGAGATTTCAACTTTGACAACTGCTCACCTGGTGTGTTGCTGTCTCATGCAAGACTTTATTCTGTTAATATTTTTCCTTTTTGTTAATATTGTGTTTTTAACCAGTTTTTAAAATGTATTCATCTAGATGATCGTCAGGAACAGAGTCACTCTGTTTTTGAGGAATACAAAGACCCTTGCAGGGCCGGACCTGGAAAGGAGAAGCCCTGGGTCACCGGTTTGTACTATTTATTCCCTGTAGCACTTCATAGTTTGACTATATGACAAATTTCAACAAAGATTAGAGAATTTTTATGGTTTGTTTTTGAAGGTACTCTGCTGGAACAGCCCACATTGTATGAAGAAGATGTAAACACCCCAGAAAATCTACAGAGGTACTTTTGCCACTTTTGTTGTTTTCAGGAAAACTAAATTTCTGATAAGAAATCCTTACACACTGTTTATGGTTACAGCAACCTGCCCTGTCTTTTTCATGCTCTTGTAGGACTTTGGAGAGTGAGGATCTGAGAAAGAGGTTTATCGCTCCTCCTGTACCTAAGGCGGACTTTCCGTTGGTGTACCCTGAAACTGACCAGCCGTGGATCGGACGACGGATCGACTATATCCTGTACCGCGAAAGCTCCATTTCGAAGCAGTGCCGAACAGTATGTGCCTCTCTTATTTCCCTGTGTTCAGTCCCCAGTCTTTTCATTTGCTCATTTGTGTTTGAAATGTTTATATCTGTAGATCATTCAGAAAATATTTGCAAATTGCAGAACTACTGACAGCCTCCTCATTTAGAAGAATAATTTATCATTAGAAAATGCATAAAATCTTTTTTTCCATTTAGGAAATTGAAGAGGTGACCTTTATAACTCAGCTGGCTGGGCTTACGGACCATATTCCTGTGGGACTCAAACTGAATGTGGTTATGGACTCAGACTCTGCTGATGAATGAGGACTCATTCAAACAACAGTACAAATGCACAAAAAAAGTGCACTGCTTTACTCTGTACAGGTACAAGAGTGTTTTGACTATATACTTGAATTTGTAATTTTAATGACCAAGGAGATTATACCTCAGGTGAACTTTATACATTTTTATAGCATAAAGGTTTTATAATCGATGCATTTTATATATCAGGGGTTGTTCAGGCCAGAGGTGTTGATTTTATAAAACAGTAGCATTCTCCTGTCATAGCTTCCTACCAAAATAAATGCAAATAATGAATTTTATACCTTTCTTTCTGACAACATTTAAGAGGTGCATTTTTTTACTTGTCCTTCTGACACAGCAGACAATAGTACTGTTGTGACTGTCATCCAGCTGCTAGACAAAATGTTGACAGCACACAATTATGATTATAATGAACAAAAGTTTCAACAAACAGTTCATTAGTAAGTAGCAGTTTTGTTTTCTTATATACACAACCATGCCAGTCTTACAGTTCATCAAAGTAGCAGAGGCTTTGAAGAAAGTAAATACGAAATAAAAAGCCAGAGTGATTTAAATGTTGCTGGAAACTGAACTTGAACTTGAACTTGAAATTAAGGAAATAATGAATATAACCTCAACTCCAATTTAAGAGCTGCAACATTTGATGAGATGCAACAATAAAATATGGCAGGTGAATTGATATGTACAATTAGATGTTCTTCTGGAAAACCTTGAGTCCTGGCATTCATGTGGATGTGATTGTGACGCACACCACTCACCAAAACAGTGATGCTCACATTCACTTCAAAGGCACCTCCAGACGGCGGGGCAGGACAATACACTTCATTTGAGACTTGCTCAGAAGAATAGACCAAGCTGTTGATCCCACCTGCAAAGTCTGCAGATCTAAATGCAATTGCATGTCCACTGGATATAAAGGAACAGCCAAACATCACAAGACATCCCCAGAGTTCCTGTGTCCATTCCCCGAATGGGTCAGCTGGTTTAATGGGTCAGGTTTTCATCATATCTTAAAGAAGGAAGTGTATATGCTTCAGTTAGTGGTTTTTAGATCTGGACAAATGTAACAAATTAAATCAGGGGTTCCTCAGTTGTCTGTTCTTGGACTATTACTCTTTAGCTTTTACATGTTCCAGCATAAAATATCCTATTCAGATGATACACAGTTGTAGTCATCATTTTCCTCCAATGATCTAACCCTTGTTTGCAAATTAATGGAGCAATAAATGATCATAGTATCTGCTGTCATCATTTTCAACATTATTTTAGAACTGAACAGAGACGAGGCAAATATTTGCTGTTGCTCAAAAAGGTCAGAGAACATTTGTTCATATTTATCATTCATTTCTCGGAAACACAATGAGCAAGTCTGGTTTGATAACTGGTTTGTTCACTAGATGGGCTTTCTATTACTTTAAAGTGCATATTCAAAATGAGGAATGTTTTACCTCAACCTGACTGTGAGAAATTGGTCCATGCATTCATATCACGCAGGTTAGACTATTTGAATGCTCAATTTGCATCAGTGGGACAACTTCAGCTTATTCAGAAAGCAACAGGCAGAGTCCTTATGCATACAGTCAGGTCCATAAATATTGGGACATCGACACAATTCTAACATTTTTGGCTCTATACACAACCACAATGGATTCCAAATGAAACAAACAATATGTGCTTTAACTGCAGACTGTCAGCTTTTATTTGAGGGTATTTATATCCAAATCAGGTGAACGGTGTAGGAATTACAACAGCTTGCATATGTGCCTCCCACTTGTTAAGGGACCAAAAGTAATGGGACTATTGGCTTCTCAGCTGTTCCATGGCCAGGTGTGTTATTCGCTCATTATCCCAATTACAATGAGCAGATAAAAGGTCCAGAGTTCATTTCAAGTGTGCTATTTGCATTTGGAACCTGTTGTCAACTGTCAAGATGATATCCAAAGAGCTGTCACTATCAGTGAAGCAAGCGATAATTAGGCTGAAAAAACAAAACAAACCCATCAGAGAGATAGCAAAAACATTAGGCGTGGCCAAAACAACTGTTTGGAACATTTTCAAAAAGAAGGAACACGCCGGTGAGCTCAGCAACACCAAAAGACTAGGAAGACCACGGAAAACAACTGTGGTGGATGACCGAAGAGTCCTTCCCCTGGTGAAGAAAACACCCTTCACAACAGTTGGCCAGATCAAGAACACTCTCCATGAGGTAGGTGTATGTGTGTCAAAGTCAACAATCAAGAGAAGACTCCACCAGTGTGAATACAGAGGGTTCACCACAAGATGTAAACCATTGGTGAGCCCCAAAAACAGGAAGGCCAGATTAGAGTTTGCCAAACGATGTCTAAAAAAAGCCTTTACAGTTCTGGAACAACATCCTGTGGACAGATGAGACCAAGATCAACTTGTACCAGAGTGATGGGAAGAGAAGAGTATGGAGAAGGAAAGGAACTGCTCATGATCCTAAGCACCTTATCAGTGAAGCATGGTGGTGGAAGTGTCATGCGTAGGCATGTATGCCTGCCAGTGGAACTGGTTCTCTTGTGTTTATTGGTGATGTGACTGCTGACAAAAGCTGCACGATGAATTCTGAAGTCACTGGACAGCACTTCACAGTGCAGATGGACAATGACCCAAAGCATACTGCAAAAGCAACCAAAGAGTTTTTGAAGGGAAAGAAGTGGACTTTTTTTTGCAATAGCTAAGTCAATCACCTGACCTGAATCTGATTGAGCATGTCTTTCACTTGCTGAAGATGAAACTGAAGGGAAAATGCCCCAAGAACAAGCAGGAACTGAAGACTGTTGCAGTAGAGGCCTGGCAGAGCATCGCCAGGGATGAAACCCAGCGTCTAGTGATGTCTGTGTTCCAGACTTCAGGCTGTGATTGACTGCAAAGGATTTGCAACCAAGTATTAAAAAGTGAAAGTTTGATTTATGGTTCTTATTCTATCCCATTACTTTTGGTCCCTTAACAAGTGGGAGGCACATATGGAAACTGTTGTAATTCCTACACTGTTCACCTGATTTGGATGTAAATAGCCTCAAATAAAAGCTGACAGCCTGCAGTTAAAGCACATCTTGTTTGTTTCATTTGGAAACTTGAGCATATCCAAGTGTTGGAGTCACTCCATTGGCTCCAGTTCAATACAGAATTACCTTTAAAATCCCTCTTATAGTTTATATTGCGGTCGGGTCATCAGATGTAGATCTTGTAACTAGTCCCAGAATTAGATCCAAGTGTGCTGAAAGTGCTTTCAATTACAGTAGTCCCATTCTTTGGAACAAGCTACCTGCTGACCTGAGGTCAAGTACATAAAAAAACAAAACAAACAAACAAAAAAAAAATCCCAGACTCAATCGTGCTCTCACAGGCCTTCACTTAACACCTGTGTGTGCATGTGCAAATTAATTACATCATTAAAATGTAATTTCCAAACATGTTTCACATGTTTAAAGTGGGTTCATCAGTCAAGTCAAAGTAAATCACAGGGCAATGGACTAACCTTACATGTGGAAATCAGAGTACAAAGAAAATCCACAGCCTGAAGTTTCGGTAGCTTTCGCTACCGATAGGGGGAGCTCTATATTTTCCCCCCCACAATCACGACCTTAAAGCCAACAAAAATGCATTAAAAGCCAATCAAAACCGAGGACATGAAACACTTCCTGTTTTTAGCGCTGTAAACTCGTGGATAGCTGTTTCCGTAATACTGTAATGTTATGCAGGTGAAGACCATGAATTTACTCTGTCACTCGCGGAAAGTGCTGTCCTCGGTGTTGAGAAGTAGTGTTTTACTAAAGCCAACAGAGGCTTTTGGAAGCATTTGTTCAATCTCCAAAGCTCGGTGCATTAGCCTGTCTGTGCCTCAACATTTTACAGCAAATCTGACCTCATGTCAACACTCGCATCACACAGCGTCCTTCACCGGGCACTTTGACATAAAAAGATGTTATTCGGAAAGCGAAGAGAGCCGAAATTCAGAGAGTAATGGCGTGATTGAAGATGATTCACATGAACTGGACGATAATAGCAGCGAAAACAGCTCCTTAAGTCGCAGTAAGTACTTAGAGCGTGATAGAGGTTTCAAGAGCAGTCGCTTACTTGCTTTATCATGTGTAATATAATTGAATTTCTTGACGTTTCACGGTTACGCGACATTTGGTCTTGAAAGTGTGATACCTGAAAAGTTTTTATGGTGCATCTTCAGGTTGCAAAAACAAAGTCCTGCTTCTTATTTCTGACAAAACTGCCAATATGACGGCAGATGCCTAAATTCTTGCTTAATATGCTTATTATTTTTGCCAGTAATTAATTGGCAGGTAATAGTAAACACTGGGATTTCATGAAGGATGAAAGAATGTAAATATCTACTACTTACAGATAAAACAAAGGAAAATAGACAGTTGGGATACTTAAAAAGATGATTCATACGGTTTAGATGGTTCACATCAAGTGTGTGCAGTTTCATTAAAAACAATTAAACTCTAATAAAAATATTAAATATTTTTAAATCTGACATGATTGCGCATTAAATATAAAACTTTTTGTCATTTATGCTGTTGTTTTTCATTTAAGCCAAATAAGCATCAGATGTGTGTCATTTACTGTTATGGACACTACAGCATGCAACAGGCTGCACAAAACTGCAGCCTGTTGATCATGTCCACAGGATATGCAGAATTTATAAATAAAAAAGTAATGTAATGTTTATATTTGCTGATGTATTACTCAGGTTGTGTAATGTTACAGACACTGCAGAATTTGTCTGGCAAAGTCCACACCTTCACATATTGACAAGAGGAAGTAATGAAGAAAAATAATTAGTCACAGAAGTATAGAATTACACATGTAACACTTAAAAAAATTGGTATTAAAGGACATGCAAATGTGCTAGATCATAATTTGGAGGGTTGTATATCAAATAAACAACCTTTGATTATATCTCATTTCTTTTTATTCAATGATTTCAATCAACACCTGTGTAAACGTTCTCACCAGGACCAACTCTGTATAAAATTACTAGAAAATACTTCTTAGTTACATGGATGAATGCAGTTTTGTCATTTCATTGTGGGTGACTCATGTTCAAAGTACCAGTATGTTTCTGTAAAATGTCTTTTTCCAAACTGCCTTGCAGTGACTCAAAGAAAGTAGCACCCCTGTGCTGCTTACATGCTCGTACTGCTTTACCATTTTCTTTTCTTTTTGTCAAGGATCCTTGGAGACTTTCAGTCTTGATGTGCTGGTGTCTCTTCTGCGTCAGGAAAATGCAGTAGACCTCTGTGTGATTAAAGTACCAGAGCAAATCAAATACGCTGAGTACTTCATTGTCGTCAGCGGTGTGTCACCAAGGCACTTGCGCGCAATGGCACTTTATGCCATTAAAGTGGTAACTTACCTCTGTTTATTCTTTGTTACATGCTAAATATATTTGTTCTTTAAACTCATACAAAGGGTGCTTTTACTTCAGTACAAGTTTCTGAAGAAAGATGAAGATCCAAATGTCAAGATTGAAGGGAAAGATGCAGAAGATTGGATGTGTATTGACTTTGGTATGTATATCCTTATTATTTGTTTAACAATTCCTATCCACTAAATTAACCATCTATAAAAGTTACAAGTATTTGTTTTTCTGTGTCTCAGGTAATATGGTTGTTCATTTCATGCTGCCAGAGACTAGAGAAGTGTATGAACTCGAAAAACTTTGGACTCTCCGCAGCTACGATGAGCAGCTGAAGAGTATCCCAACTGAAACACTCCCAGAGGATTTCATATTTGATGTTGAAGTTACAAAGTGAAAACATCTAAGGCTAAATAATAAGATGTGCCCAGACTGAACTACTTTGAGTTTTGGATACATTCTTTACAGTCAAAACCAAATCTGTTCGATTTCCAAAAGTACTTTAAGTGACAGAAATGCTGAAGCCCAACTTACCAGTATATACTGATCTCAGATATATTAACTGTACTATCTACATTATATCTCATCTAATGAGCATAATATCCCATGGCAAGACATCCATCTGTCTGCAGTTCACAAGAATTGTTACTCCATCTACTACTGGGCAGGTTTTAATAAAACTTGCACACAATGAAAATATGCTCCAAATTGTTCTCAAGGTTGCATTTTGCCAGATGAGCTACTATCTGAAGTCTTTAATGGAACATAAAGAAAAAAAAAATACATGCTTTTGGCTATTTAGAAATTGTGGCATCACATAACTTGTCCAACGAAGTATGGACAATAGAAAGTACGATGCTATAACATCAAATATGCAGAAACAACAAATTGTGTAGACTTATGCACGGTGCCTTACACTTTGTTATGACATACACACCACTCGGACATAGGCTCTTGCAAATTTGCAGATATAGAAAGCATGTTACTGAGCCATCACATCATTTTTCTGCAGGGGTCATCCCAGCATTTACAATGATAGTGATTTATCTGTGATAGGCTAATGTATACTTGTATACTGGTCAGCCTTCAGTATTTTTCTTTAGATAAATAATCCAGAAACCCAACACCTTTTGTGTTTAAAATTGACAACCTCTAATGATTCTGTTAATTTTTCGTACTGTTTGACATCACTGGTACGGTGATATGGTGTTTGTAAAATGCTAAAATGACTCATGAGTTTGCAGATAAAATGTATGTTTTATCCTGTTTAGATTGTTGAAGTAAATTATTTTTTCTTACATTTCAGACGTGTTGATTGATGATTAATATGGTGTCGAGGTGAGGACAAAGAAGAGGCAGACGTTGCTGTCGAGCAGACGAAATGCATAGGTTCAGTGTTGATTCAGTCTCCCCAGGTGTGAATATACTTATTCACAAGCACCTGCAACTGTGTCTGAAGAGCAAGAGCCTTTTAATATTTAAACCTGACAGCAGCAAAGCAGTATTCACATTTGCAGGTATAATTTAAAAAATAGTCTGTATTTAAAATATATTCAAGTCTCAGAAACACATTTTCTGCAAAATTCAAGCAAGAATAAATAAATAAGAGAAAGAAGAATATAGAGTCACTAAAACAAGTCATTTAAGATGATGTTTTCAGCCAAATCCATCTGAGTGCTTTGTTTCGGAAAAAAATTGTTGCCCAGGCCATTATTCGTTACACGCATTCACTCAGCACTTACAAGATAATAAGACAATAAAAGACTCAAAAGTAAGTGTATCCAACACCTAGGTTGATTAGGACATGGACAGATTAAGAGTTTTTGTCTTTTTTCATGGTTTCTGACATCAATATCACATTAAAAAACAGACTGATAAATAGATTTTTGGACCTTTTTGACATTTAAAGAATACGGAGCCTGAGGGTAGAAACTAAGCCAAAACATACACAAACACTGATACAACTCGCACTATATCCCCATAACTTTCTTGCATGCAAGCATTACGCTTCATTGACTTATTGTCAGGACATTAGCTAAATGTGAAAATGTAATGAGGCAGGAGATGCCTGCACAGAGCCGACTGGACCTGGTGTTTGAATGCTTTTAACTTGTGGTCGTGCTGCTTGCACATGAATGGAAAATGAAGAATGAGTCAGACTAATGTTTAAAAACAGATGGGGAAGCAGTGAATTTGGACATCTTCATGCAACATAGTCTCTGGTTTCCAGTACACTCCCAATATAAACCCACTGAGATGAAAGTTAGACTTTGTTGATCACACTTACTTATTCAGTAGTTTAAATTAAAAAATAAGACTATCAAGTAATTATTTTTAATATTATTTGTCTTTATTGTAATATAGTAATTTATTTTTTTAAACTAGCTTATTTCTATTTTTTTTTTTTTTTAAAGGCTCTGGGGGAAAATTGCAGTTTGAAAAATCCTTTTTTGTTCCACTCAAATTTTGAGTGGATAATGTTCTCATTATCTATACAGCTGTTTCACCCACTGTTTTCTCCCCATTAGGGACCAGGTGCTACGATGGAGGAGATTATGAAGAAAGGGAGGTTAATTAGTAAATAGTAGCAGAGTTTATGTCTTGCATGACTCATTGCTATACAAAGCTCACAGTCGGCTTACTTTCACATACATTACCAAAGTGCATATGCAATTAAATTCTATCATGGTCTTTGTGTAGCATTAGGTTTCTGTATAAAGAAAGGAGTATATTATTTAGTAGGTGGTCATTACTATCCAGTGCAACTGGCTAAAATAAATAATTTATCTTCCAGAATTCCTACTGAAAGTTTTAGCTTTAATCCTCAACTAGAAGTCCATCTGGGTGTCAGGCTTTTGATATTTTAGTACGAGTAAATGTATGTATTTAGGCCTTCTGATAGTCCTGCAGGTGGGCTCTCTCTTTGTAGATAACGTTTGTGAGGAGCATTACAAGAGAGCACATCAATTTTATCAGAAATGGCACTTGAAGGACTCTGTGCTTTATCCACCTGGCCCTCATTTGTCATCACAATACCTGATGTCACAAACTATTTAAATCAGTCCGTAAAGGGTGTTCAGCATCAAGTGCAAATGTGCTTGCAAAGATTCTGGGAGTATTTGTAAAAAGTAAATAAATAGTTTTGAGCTTCTTGTACCCCAACGCCTGTGTCCGGTGATGACAATGAAGTACATGATTGATGCCTGGTTGGCAGCTCCTGCCACAGCAGTCAGTTGGTGTCTGCTCCAAGCATGCCAAGTTTGACTGATCTGATCAGCATAGTGTTGTTTTGGAGCATTTTTCCTGACAGATTCATACTAACAGTGAACCTGATCACTTGGCAGTGATACTCAGTGCCATGAAAATCGCAGTATTAACATGTAAATGCTTTCTATGAATAACAATGTCATTTTCTTTTACAGCATCTGAATACTTTGCCTGTAATATGAGCCAGAAAAAGTTTTTTGTTTGTGTTTAGCCGACATTACCAGCAAGGACTTGTGCTGTTGCTTTGGAGTGCAGCGCTCATATGACTGCCACAGAACAGCAACGATTTACTGCCAAGTTTTTGTTGAGTGCCCTTCTAAGAAAATAGTTGCCATTAAAGTTGTCTTATCATTTTGGGGCTGAAAGCTTTTTGTGCCCTCTATCAACTGAAATTGAAAATTTAAGGAGTTTTTTGTGATTTCCTGCCCTTTCTTGTATGATTTCAAGTAATTTAGAGCTATGCTTGCTCGTTTGGCCGAAATTGCTGCAGTTATTGTCTTAAGACAACTGCCTGTATTCAGTAGTGTTTAATTTGGACTTAAAGATGAGATACATGAAGCAGTTTTAAAAGGCCATAAAATCAAAGGATTTAACATATACTAATGAGTTTTGAACTTTTGGTTCATTACTGCTAACCGTTTAAAGGCTTTGACTAGGCTGCTCTTGTATAATTTGCACACAATACACAATTGTGTGATAGCAAGGAGCACGAATGCCTGTTCTTTTATTTCCAGCAGCTTTTCCTATTTTTGAGATGGTTAATGCACAATTTCATGAGTTAATTTTGTTTCCTGATGAGCCACAAGTTCTTTTGAGCTGCATCAGTCAAGGCATCCGGCATTTCAAAAACAATAATAAAATAAAAAAGTCAAATCAAACATGTGGAGCTTCCTGCTGTATCAGCCCCTTGTGATTAAGGTAGTAGTTAAAAGTAGCTTTTGATGTAGACCCCCTTTGCATTTCTCTATGAAGTGAAACATAATTTTTCCAAACACTAGGGCATCCTTTCATTTTTCAGCTTAATGTGAAAACCATGGCCATCTTAAGTTACACATCATCAGTTTTATTAAAACATACCATGCTGCTTTTGGTCTTAAGTAGATTTTCTACATTAATAAAACTTTTAGCTTTCATCTCCACTCATCAGTACTTTTCCATGATAACTTCAAAATCTTTTTGTGAACCAAAGAAAAGTTTGCTGTAATCAGGTGTACTCTTATTGCTTATTTAGACCTTATTTTTTTTTTAAACATAGAAAACAAAGCCATTAGGGTAAACAAAAATGATGCAGACCTTTTGGGTTGTTCCAAATGAATTGGTCCTATTGTAGAACACAAATTTCTGTAGCATGTTAGTGATGTACTTAATTTACATTTATAAAAAAACAAAGGTTATGAGTTTTTTTTTCTGAAATAATGCCATTTTTTGTTTCACTGCTTTGCTACTTTGAGCTTAAATAATGCAACCATAGATATTTCTCAGGAGTAGCCTAAAAGAACAGAATTACCCCCCCCACACACACACACACACCCCTCCCCACATGGCACAAGCTGTATAAAACATGGGCAATGTAGGGAATCAGACAGACGTGCCTTGAACAGCGGGAAAAGCAACTACAGCAGAACTAAAGTGTAAGCAAAATCTTTATTTGTAACAATTTGATGGAGAGGCTTGCTTTTTAAATTTAAAGTCAGCATGTCTTTACAGATTTGACTGCCTTTATGTTTCATGAACATGAACATGGTCACTCTATTGCAGAGCTCTTTTTCTGATTTTGCCGTGAGTTGCTGGATTTGTGTTTTTGTTTTTTATTACTCTGTATTTTCACTTAATTTTCCCTGTGATCTAGGACGTGTTCCAACGCTGTGATGTCACTGAGTATTCTGGCTCTCTGCCTGCTGGTTTGTATTCACTCTGGCATAAATGCATACCCAGCCAAACCTGCCAATCCACGGCAAGGCGCGCCACCTGAGGAGCTTGCCAAATATTATTCTGCACTAAGACACTACATCAACCTCATAACAAGACAGAGGTTAGTTATCTACTTCTATATTATTGAGTCCATCTTGACCCTATATGGAAAAAAATATTGTTTAATTGCTGATATCTTCTTTATGCACAGGTATGGAAAACGAGACAGTCCTGATACTGTATTTTCTGATGTGCTAGTGAGGGAGAGCACAGAAAGTGTTCCAGGATCCAGCTATATCAGGTAGATTTATTTACCCCATTATCTCTCTGTTAAACTACCATATATATATATTCTTGTATATTATATATTCTTCATTGGACTGAATATTACTTGAGTCTGATTAGGAAGAGGGATACCTTATGCAGATATTTTAATGTGTTTTCTAGAGACTCAATTTCTAATTATTATGTTTTAATGTGTTTCTGTAGGTATGATGGGCTGCCATGCTGCTAGAGCTGTTACATCCAGGTTGACTTTACCATAACGCTGCCACTATGATGTCTTTTACTCCCATGAATTGAACTTGTGTTGCATGGAATAAACGCTGTGTGTAAAGAAACTACTTTAAACTGTTTGTGTTATTGCCACTGCTGCACTGTGACATGTTGCTAGATAGTACAAGTGTGTCTTACAGTGTTTTCTGTGTCATTCACTGATGGAGTAACAGTGCACTCTGATGGTGAGCTGACATCTAAGCATTTTGAGGTTTTTCTTAAGTGGGGCAAATAGCTTTTAAAACATGTCTGCTGCAAGAGTCCTATTTAGGGGAAATGTGAAATAGAAATTAGTAATGTGAGTACATCAAAGTGTTTTTCTCAGCTTTACTTTTACCTCTTTTATCAAGCCTGCTGAGATTTGCCTCCACCCTAACTCACAACAGATTAAAACTTTAATCTCATCAAGTGACCTGGATACATAAAAGCAAATCATGCAATGCTATGGTAGTCTCTATGTGCCTTGAGAGAAAATGTCACTTTTTTATGAATGTCGGTTGTGCAGATGAGGTTATTTGTTGCCAGACATGGCAACAATTATTACAGGACTCAAAGATGGCAGTGAGGCTTAC